GTGGCTCCCCGCAAGCCGCACTTCCTGCCCTCTGTCCTTAGCTTGGAGTTAGAGCGCTGGGGATTAGGACACACCCAGGTTTTCTTCAGTCTCTAAGGGAGGAAACTGGGAAACTGGAGGGGAGGGTTGGTCCCAGAACCCAGTGCACACAGCTGTATGCTGAATGTGTTGAGAGGTGTAGATGCCTGTCAACATGTATAATTCCCTTTGTGTGGAATTGGTCGGTCTTGGGGACTCTGGTCTGGGGAATTCCACAGAGTGACCAAGCTCTTATAAACCCTGACCAGGCCCCCAGCTGCCGTGGTGGTTGCCAGGGCCTGCAGGAGTCATGAGCAGTCAGGGAGGCCTCAGTGTAGAGCAGTGGAAGCCTGCCCCCATTGCTTCCTTAGGGAGGGATCACAGGTGAGTGGGGAAGGCAGGGTCAGGGCAGGCTGAGGAGGCCTCTGGGGAGAAGGAAAGCCTGCACCCCACCTGCTCTCTCATTCATCCAGTTACCTGTCCACCCAGCACAGATATATTTGCCATCCCTTCTGGAGAAACACCAGGTACATCCCTTGAGATGGAGGTGGTGGGGAGACAAGTTTAGACTGCTTTGAGGTTCCATTGGCCAGGGATACCACATAGGACAACGTGAGGGTAGGGCTCCACTTGGCAATGCTCCATGTCAAAAGTGGCAGTCCGTACCTGATCTTGAGCTTGAGGAGGGTCTCTAGGACTGGGACTAGGCAGGCAGTACCTCCTACCAGCAGCCTTCGCCGTTGGAAATGGCTGGGCCTTTCCCTCCTTGGACAAGGTTGTTATATGGACCTCTGTTCTCCTGCTAGTTTTCCCCACTAGACAGAGCTTATTTGGTGTTTACAGTTCCTGATTCGCCAGCCAGGGCCTCAACTGGTACCCAGCAAATGTCTGTGGAGTGAATGCACGAATGAACACAATAGAGCCCAAACCAGAAGGGAGGTGTCGCTTTGTTCACACAATGGATTTGGGGAAAAGGAGTGTGACATGACTGTTCAAGATGGCTGTTGGTTCATTAAGTGACACACAATGGGTGTATTTAGTAAGGTCTGCTGGAGGCCACAACAGTGGGCAGGATGTTCCTTCCTCTCCTTCCTCCCTTCCTCCCTTCCTCCCTTCCTTCGGTCCTTCCTTCGTTCCTTCGTTCCTTCGTTCCTTCCTTCCTTCCTTCCTTCCTTCCTTCCTTCCTTCCTTCCTTCATATATTTTTGTTCCCAACTCCCTGTCCAGGTCCTGGGTGCCAGGCCCTATGCTAGAGTTGGAGACACAGTGATGAACAGGACGGAGGCAGCCCACCTCCCTGGGAAGGCAAAGTGGTGAAGGAAGTAGACATGGATGATGTCAGGTAGCATGCCCGAAATTCATCCATGAGGAGCCATAGGGTCTGTGTGGAAACCTGGCTCAGGCTGGGCCCAGAGAAGGCTTTCTTTGGGAATAATCTTTTTGGAGAGGAGTGTTCTAAGCAGGAAAAATGACACAGTCACAGGCCAGGGGACTGAAAAATGTCTGGGGTGCTGGATCATCGAGTTTGAGGCTGCACATGGTAAGAGAGGCCATCAGGGACAACTCTGATGGGTTCTATATATGGAAATGACACGATCAGAATCACATTGTTAAAATGTCACTCTGCCTGTGGAGTGGAGTTAGGCTAGAGGGAGCTGAGTGGAAGCTGTGAGCCAGGATGGATGGTTCAGTGAGAGATGGTGGTGTCCTGAATTTGGACTGTGACTGCAGTAATGAAGAGCAGTAAATGGATTGAGAGGTCCACCAGGTAATACCTACAATGGGGCAATGTGGTGGGGAAGAAAGTGGAAGTGACTGGGAGACGTTGATTTCATTTCCTGAGGTACAGGAAATGCTAGGGCAGAAGCATTTTGGTGGTGTGGGGAGATAATGAGTTTGCCTATCAAATGGCCACAAAGAAAAAGCTATATGGGTTTGGAGTAGACTTGGGCTGGAGATTCAGAACCCAGAGTAATGGATTTACATGGGCCCAGTAGCCCCTGGAGGGAATGAGAGAATGCCAGGTATAGAGGGTTGAATGGTGGCCCCTAAAAAAATATGTCCATATCCTAGTACTTGGACTCTGTGAATGTGATCTTATTTGGAAAAAGGCACTTAGCAGATATAATTAAGAATTATGAGATGAAATTATTCTCATTACTGGGGTGAGCCCTAAACCCAATGAAAAGTGTCCTTAGAAGAGAAGAGAAGGTCCAGGACTCTGAGACCCTGTGCAGGCCTGAGTCAATCCTTTGGCTACTGCTGTGTGGAACAAAGCGTTAAGGAGACACTCATCCCTTCATGTAGGCAGCAAATATTTATTTGTGGTAGAGGCTGAGGATATGATGATGGACAAAAACACATAGAACTAACATACTCCTGGAGCTCCCAGGCCAGTGGTGGTGGTGATGGTGGGATAGATATTAATCAAACAGAGATTCAACTACATCAACTGTGACAAGTCTTACAAAGCACACAGAGCATAAGAGGCTATTCTAGGATGTGTTGGCCTAGTCAGGAAAGTGAGGAAAATCCCTCTGAGGGGATCAGGAGGGTTTAATTGGGGAGGAGGGAAATTTTTCTAGATAGAAGGAACAGCATATGCAAAGGCCTGAGAGTGGGGTGGGGGGAGGGGAGAATGGCTAGTTAGAAGGACTGGAGGAGGTCAGTGTGTGTAGAGAAGTGAGCAGGGGCCAAACCATGTAGGACCTTACAGACTACTTTTAGGGTTTTCCCTAAGAGTGCAATTTACTAAGCTGACAGTGATGGGTTCAGATCTGCATTTTGAGACCACTCTGGCTGCAGTATGGAAGGAAGGTGGGTGAAAAAAAGAATGGAGAGGAGCAGCCAGCCAGGAAACTGCAGACAAATGGGTGGATTAGAGAAAGATTTAGGTCGTAGGACTGAATGGACATGGGATATGGAAGGATAGGGTCTAGGGATGAGGCAGCAGGTGGTGCTTAGCATGACTTCCAGGCTTCTGGTTAGGAAACCAGTGGGGGGTGGGGGGAGTTCTTCAGTGAAGCAGGGAACACAGGAGGTATGGAGGGGGAAGGGGAGAAAGCATGAACTCAGTGTTGGACATATTGCAATTGAGATGCCTGTGGACACTCAAGTGGAGATGTAGACTCTTCAGTGAGTGATATAATTCTGGAGCTCAGGAGTCAGGGAAAGGGTAAAGAGAGAAATTTGTGAGTCATCTGTGTATAGGAGGAAATTAGAGAAAGAGAAAAGGGAAGTAGAGCACCTAGGCCTGAGCTTTGAGGAACTCCCAACCTTTACTGACATAATGGGGAGAAGGGGAGAGGAGGATGTGTTGGGTGGGGGGGTGGGCAGAGGTGGCCAGAGAGAATGGTGGAAAACCAAGGGACATGAGTATTCCAGGGAGGCAGTGGTCAGCCTCTGCTGGAGTGTAAAGTGCCGCTGGGGGCTTCAGCAGATGAGGACTGAAGAGTGGTTGTTGAATGGAGGAGCTTGGAAGCTACAGAGTTTACTGAGACCTGGTTTGGTGTTGTGAGCGGGCCAGAAGGCCCACTGAAGGCGAATGAGGGATGGGAGGGAGGCGAGGACAAGGAGACAGGTTGCTCTTTCAGGGGACTTTGCTGTGATTGAGAAGGAAAGAGACACTGCCGTAGTTGGTGGGGTTGAATGAGGTTTTTTTGTTTGTTTGTTTCTTTCTATAGTACAGGCTTGAACATATTTATAGGTCAAGGGAAGGATCCGGTTGAGAGGGGAAGGCTGAACACTGAGGAGAGAGAAGGGATTATCCACAAGGCAAGCTCCTGAGATGGGCGGACAGGATGGGAGGATCTGGGCAGACAGTGGCATAACAGGATGTAGCGATGCAGGAAAGTTTCTGTTTGGTTTAACTGAGCTCTGGCTAGTGGCTGATGCAAGCCGAAACAGCGGCTCATTCCGTTTTTTATGTGTGTTGTGTGTATTTTGGTGTGTGTGCTCGAGTCTTCCCCTGGTCTGGGCTGCCAGCCTGGATGGTGTGTATAGGGAACATCCTCATAAAGCCTGGGCAGAGGCTGGGCACCTCCCACTCTGGGCGAGCTCACTGATGAGATTCTCAGATGGTGTTTCCCATCATTCATGACCAGGAAGGTTCACAGAGCAGGCGTGGGAACCTGCTTGGCCATCAGGGCCTCCTCCAGCTCAGGCTGAGATTTACTGCATCCCTGTCTTCATTGCCTCCCAGACTGGACTGGCTGAAGGAAGTGTCCACTGTTTTTGGCCCATGTTCTATGGAAGGGATTGAGCAAACCAAGGGGTAGCCCCAGTGTGCGAACACCCCTCTTTCCCCCAGTCTGTGCTGGGCTCCCTTCTCATCAACCCATCGCCTGCACATAAATCAGGAGGACTGCCTGGCCCAGAAGCTGGGGACTGTCTGAATCCCTTTGGGAACTTGGCCCTGGGGGGTGGACACCAGGTCCCTAGTCTTCTTCAGGGCCTTCTCCACTGGTGTGTCCCCTCCCGATATCCCGGCTCCCTTCCTGGTGACACCTTTCCCCTAACCTGCCGGTGGTGATGATGGGGAGGGGGCAGTAGAAGTACACAGCAGGGCCACCGAGACACGAGCTGAGGTCAGGGGAGTCCGCCACTATACAGGGACGCCCCCCCATTACAGCACGGGCGCCAGGATCGGGTCGTGGGCCCTTCTCCAGCCTCCCGGGGACTGGGGAGGAGGGCGGGGCGAGTCACACAGGTGGGAGCCGGGCTAGGGGAGGCGGGCGCGGCGTACGTGCGGCCAGCTGCGGGCCGCATGAAGGGCGCGCACCCGGCTCCGCCTGGCGGGAGGCCCGCTCCCCGCTCCCGCGCGGTCGGGCAGCCCGGGCCTTCCCCGGGGTCGGCGGCGGTGGCGACCCCCAGCCGAAGCTCCCCGGGAGCCGAGCCAGACGCCCGGCCGGCCAGCGCGGGGGCGGGAGGTGGGGACGTGGCTGCGGCTCAAGCGGGCGGAGCCGGGCCGCGGCGGGAGGCGGAGCCTCCGGGGGAGGAGGCGCTGAGCGGGCCGGGCGCCGCCGCGGGAGGTTCTGGAAACGCCGGGAGCGGCGCGTGTCCAGGTGAGCGTCGTGCCCGCTCGGCCTCCCGGTCCGCCGCGGGGCTCCGGCGCAGGCCTGTGTCGCCGGGCGGTGCGTTCAGCCTGCGTGGGGCAGGGGGTTCGGAGCCGGGGGTCCCGCCGCTCGCAGGGCAGCCCGGGCCGCAGCCCCGCGCCCGCCGCCCTGTTTCTACACCCGTCTGGGTTTCTGTCCCGCCGCCTCTGTCCCCTCGCCGGCTTCAGGGTGGTGAGGTCAGCGGCGCCCTTCCTGTCCGTCCCCACGGTGGCCGCGCTAGGCGGGGAACTTGGCCGTCCTGCCTTGTCAGGCTCCCCAGGAAGGGGCGGCCTGGCCCCGAAGCTGCCAGAAGTTGGAGACGGAGTTAGGGGCGTGGGCCAGGCCCCGAGGGGGCTGCTTTATGTTAGTGAGGTCCACCTAACCCCCTCCAAAGAGCAAAGGGCTGGGAGTCTGTGGTTTGATACGGCATGGCCCAGCTTGGTGCCCATTAACGCAGGCTGTTGGATGAGAAAGTTTTGTTTTTTTCTCCCCTGCAGACATCCCTTTTGAATCTGCGTTGTTTTTCCTCAGCAGCCGCGGAGACCTGTTATAACTACTTAACTAATTCAACAAACGGACCCTTCTGTGAGTCAGAAACTGTAAGGGGTTGCTAGCCCAGTGGGGCAGACTGACTGGAAGACCAAGAAAATCCAGGCCCAGAGCAGTGTGGTGAGTGCTCTGCTGGGAGGGAACACAGGGCTATGGGTACTTGGTAGAGGACAGGGTGCTTCAGGCCAGAGGGCTTCCTGGAGGAGGTGCTTCATGAGCTGGAGTGGTGAGATGACGGCTGAATAAAGGATAACCCAGACAGAGGAACAGGCTGTGTGAGAGGGAGCAGACCTGGGCACTCTAGTGGAAACAAGGTGATAGGGGAAGGGGCACTTTAGGGGATAGCTGCCCATGGACCCTGTCCATAAGAGCTGCAAGTGAGAGGACAGTTCCTAGTACTGTGCCCTGCTTGTGCAGGGTGCTCAGTGAACTCCTGTAGCATGAGAGTGGATCAGGGCACTTCTTCTTCAGGACAGCATAGATGGGCGCTTGGCCTCTGCATTCTAATCTGGCACCTTTAAGAAGAACATTAGAGTCTTTCCCAAGACTGAGACTGGTGTCTTCTGCTGCGGAGTGACACCTGAGGCTGGTGCCTGACAGTCCCAGCCCTCCTGCTGGAGATCCTGGCCCTGAGAACAAGAGTTGGGGTATGTCACTTTGTATTCTCAAAAGTCTCAGATTTTGCAGAGATCCACTGTCCACCTAAGGATTTATAGACTGTTTTTGCATGGTTGAGTTCTCTTTCTGTTAAATGAACGAAGATTTCCTTTAGCTTGTGCTTAAAGTGCCCCTGAAGTGTCCAGGGTGCAGTGTCTCACTGTGGTTCTGGGCCTCAGGGCTCAGCCTCTTTGTTCACTTCTCCCACTCACGAGATCTTTGGGCTTTCAATTCTTCTAGTGTCTTCTTCTTCTCCGATGGCCAAGCGTGTCCACTGTACAGCCTAGCCAAGGAAGCCACGTAGCCAGGATGGAGTGAGTTGGCGGGGGCCTCAATCCAGAGATGCTGTCATACTGGGCCACCCTAGTTCTGTGAGAGCTCAGCAGGCAGACATGGTGACAACTAGTCTGTGGCATATGACAGTAGTCCTTTCACCCTGTTGTAGGCTCTGAAGTGGGGTGCCTGGGAGAGTGCTTACTTTGCTGCTGGTTTAGCGTGGCTGCAGCTGATCTCTGTGTGTTCCTTGAGTACCCTCCTGTGTTCCTGTTTCTGCTTAGAGTGTGCTTGGGGTGCAGAATGAGGGAGGAGGTGGAATGAGGGAAGAGGAGGAGGAAGTGGAGGCAGCAGTGGTGGTGGCACTGTTCTTGCCTGTGGGTAGCTCACCTCTCTGAGATTGCTGCTTCATGCTGGCAGCTGGCCATGTGCCAGGGGAGGAGCCCAGACTGTGAGTGCTTATCAGGAGAGACTGCTTTGGGTGCAGCCCTGAGGAATGAGTGGAGGGAGGGAATCTGGGGTCTACTCATTTCCTGGGAGAGCCTCTTTTTTTTGCTCTGCCCTGCCACGTTCTTGGGAGGGTCTGAGGCTGGATGCAAGACCTTGGCCGATTTGTGGCCACACTGGCTGATAGTGTGCAGTGAGCTGGCTGGTGGGTGTGTCCCTGGCCCCTGGGAGCTGTCAAGAGTTTAATTTTATGCAGATGGAGTTTGGCAGGAAATGCTATGATGCAGGCACATGCAAGCCCAGACAGAATGCTAGAGCAAGAGTTAAACTGAAAAAACTGCTTCCATCTAGCAATTTGGACTTTTGAAGTGCCTCAGGGTAGGAAATCAGCCTGTCCTAGAGCAGAGAGGGCTGGTGACTCCTGTGGTCTCTGGGGATGTGGAATGAGGGATATCGTTTTTTTATCCACAAAAGGGGCACAGGGGAGTGAAAAGTTTGGATTAGACTTCTTGGAGCCCTAGAAGAGAGTTTTTGTTCAAGTGGTGTCATTGCAAGGCAAAGGATTATGTGTTTGGGGACTGAGTTCTCCAGCTCAGGTAGGATGTCTGAGCCTGATCTCAGACTACCGTCTGCTCCAGACCTTTCAGGAAGTGCTTGCTAGAATGTAACTCATTTTGTACCTGGCACTTCTGAAGGCCAACCTGTGGCTGAGATCCTGAGGCCTCGTACTTGTAGGAACTTGGAGCGAACAGGTCAGAGGCATAGAAATATGTGAAATAGAAATCTTAGCGGGAGAACTGTCCTTCCTTGGTGAGATTTAGAGCCAGCAGTTTGACAGTTCCAGGGTTGTTCCCTGATGTCTATTGTGCTGCATTACACCTGACTCCACTCGCTCCTGAGTTAACGTTTCATCTCTTTGTGCATTCCTAGGACCTGGAGATTGATTGCCCAATTTCTGTCTTGTTTTCATCTTCACGGTTCCTTAGACTGGACCTTCTTCCTCGCCAGAGATCAGCTGGGCAGTGGGCTGCTTCAGGACTGCTGATGTTCCTCCAATACCCTCGGTGCCAATGACTGGTATAAATTGTGCCTGGAGCTGCTGGGCTGCCCACTGACTTCTGTCATCTCATTCAAGCCTCACAACAGCCCTATGAGATGTAGGTCCTAATATTATCCCCATTATACAGATGGGGAAACTGAGGCTCGGAGAGACCTGTAACTTATCTAAGATCCCAAAGCCAGGAAGTGATGATGGAGCTGAGATTTAACTCTGGGGCTGTCCGACCCCAGGGCAGGTGTGCCTGTTTACTATATTGTACTACCTTGCCCTGAGCTGTGATGGTTGGTCATTTGTGAGTGCTCTGATGTCTGGGGCAGGAGTGACTGTCACCTGAACTCGAGGCAACATGTTCCTGTTTTCTCGGTCCATGTTGCTGTCTCTGCCTTCTGGTAGGATCCAGCCAGGGATGTCATGAAGCTGCTTTGTAAACCATGGTAAAGTCCTTGGCCTGAGCAGACCTACTCTGCCAGAGCAAAGTGTGGCTCCCCCTTTTGGGAGGCCCTTGTGTTGTAAGCCAACAGATGTTACCCAGTCAGATTGAATGGCAGCAGTGTCTAGTGGAAAGTGTGTTCTGGGTTTGAGTCTGTGCTCTGTCAGTGATTTACTGTAGCATGTCAGGTGTGCACGAAACCCTCTCTCAGCCTCAATTGTCTATCTGTATCTGAGATCGAGATGATGATCTAGTTTACAAGGTTTGGGTGAGGATCAGAAGGTAGAAATGAAAGATTTTTGGAAACATAAATAGTTTCCAAACTATTATCTTAGCCTTGTTTCCAGAAAACAGAGCCTGAGGCAGAGCTTCAGTGCTAAGTGCTTTGTTGGAAGTTGCAATTGCAGGGCAGCAAGGGTGAGGGAGGGAAAAGGAAAGTGAAGTAGAGGAGGATGGGAAGCAGATACAGGCTGGTGCTTGAGTAGGCTGGCGTTGTTCAGCCATGTGGGCCCTCTCTGGGTGAGCTGGCAGAAAGTTCACACTGCAGAACAGTTTCCCAATGGAGGCCTAGAGAGGGGATTTATCTGCTTACTTCCTCTTCCGTCCTTCACTGGTCAGAGCTGCCTCATGAGGAGTTATCCTGCTGCTCCTCCAGTTGCTGTAGAAGGCCCTCCAGCAGCCACTGGGAAGGTGGGTGTAGCATGCCTTTGGAGACTGGAAGTAGTGAGAGGAGCCAGAGATTTGGGGCCTGACAGTCTCCTACACTAGTTCTGAGGCAGAGCAAGTGACCTAGGTCCCAGGAGACAGGTCAGGCCAAGGGAGTACGAGGCAGTATGTGAGATGCACCCAATAAAGTGGTGTGTGGATTTTGTCCTCGTGTGGAGCTCCTTTTTGTGAGTTAGCCTCACCTAGATTTCCAAGTCTCTGCTGAGATGGTGACTGAAAATCCAGCTTGGCTTTTGCACGTCGATTTTTACAGCCTTCTCTGCTACTTCATTGCTTATTTACTGAAGGAGGAAACTTTGTGGTTTTGATGGTACCCGTGTGGGAAGTACAAATCTACATGTTCATGGACCAGATAGAGAAAGTGTAAGGATAGGTACAGATGAACACCTAGGCTCCATTAGGTTCTCAGTGAAGGAGAATATTTTTCATGTGTGGTAGTAGTTGAACGTCTGAAACTTGGAGTCGAGATGGGGCTGGAGAGGGTGGTGGGGCCAGGTCATGCGGAGTCGAAAAGGCCCTTAGGGCTAAGGAGTTTGGACTTTACCCTGAGGGTAGGGGAGAGCTTTTGGAAGATTCTTAGGGAGAGACCAAAGGAGGGGCTGGGGTAAACCCTCTGGCTACTTTGTAGAGGAGAGGTGGGTGGGAGGCCATGGCAGGGGCCAGCATGGCTGCAGGAGGGAATTGGGGATGGCTCAGATCAGTGTGATGACTGAGGCATGACATCCTGTGAGGAGCGTAGGGTGCCTCTCATTCTTTCCTGGGATGCCAGTAACAGCAGTTTGTGGGCCTCAGTGGACATCCATGTGCTTAGATGGTAGGGCCTTCTACGTTTAGCACGCCTGTCCTCTTGGCTCTGCCATCCCAGAGTTGGCCACTCCACTGGGAGGCAGGGCCACTGGGGGGAGCCCTGTTCAGGCAGGTCTGGCTCCTTCACAGAAGGCAAGGCAGCCTCTTGTTCAGGGCCAAGCAAGACCTGTTTATTCTCAGCAAACCCATGTTCTGTCTCTAGGCTGTTAAATACATTGTTAAAACTCAAGCTGTTGCATTTGGGCTGCAGCTGGGAGCTTGGCAGAGGTTCATGCCTGATGAGGTAAGGGGAGAAGCTAAGGACGCTGCTGCTTTGCAGCTGGAAACATCTTTTCATGGCTATCTGGCCAGGTTGTAAATGTCCTTTCCAAAGAGCAGACTTGTTAGGGACTCAGATTGTATGTCTTGGAATTGCCTTGTACTTAGAAACCGTGCCGGTCACCTGGTGGGTGGATCACTGTCACTGGGCTATTGGCAGGCTTTGGAGCACTTCCCTGTGGGGGTCCAGGTTTGGGCTGCCAGGGCTGCTTTGGAACCCTTTGGAGAGGGCCTGCTTTGTTTTCTTTTCATTTTAAGCATATTAGAAAATATGTTTTAAATTTCCCATAGAGTTCCTTGTAGAAAGGTTAGGAAATACAATTAAATATAAAGAGAAAGAAAAAATTATTTCACCAAGATACAACTAGATTTATGACTCTCTTCTTGCATATATATCGGAAAAGTCATGATGCATTTTTGCAACGAAAAACATAGAAAAAATACGTCATGACTTTTCTGACAACCCAATATTTGTATATATGTAAATTTCCACATATATGCACATACATACATTTTTCCACGTAAAAATGAAATTGTAGAGTGCATATTTTTGGGAGCCGCTTTTCTCACTTAACAGTAAGCTTTGATCTTCTCTCCACGTTAATATGCATATGGTATCCATTCTTATACAACCTATAACAATCCGTTGTAGGGAAGAAATGTAAAATCTTCTGTTGTGGTAGTTTCCTCACTTGAACAAGTCTGTGGCAAGTATAATTTATTGGGTGCCTGAAATGGGCCAGACATTATTCTAAACTTGGGATGCAGCTCAAATAAAAGTCAGCATTGGTTTTCTGCTCAGGTTTGGTGCCACTGTGTTTTTCATGAAAGGAGATTTGGCACTGCCCATTCCCGGGCCTGTTCAGCATAGATTTCTGAGGGTTCCTGGGAGGGTTTTCAGCAGCCCTGGACACTTTGTGGGGGCACAGGACAGGCACAGATACTCTCACCTACTCTATTCTCAGCGAGCTCCAGGTGCAGGTATGCGATGGGATGGGGGCCTTTCCTACACTGCTGCTGCCCCCCAGCCTGACCCTGATTTGACGACCTTTGTACAAAGCCTTGAGTGTTCAGGGGCTCCAGATCAGGAGAAATGGGATGGGGCTCCAGGGCCCCCCACCCCTGCCTGGGGTGGGCAGTGTTGACTGTGGCAGTCTGGGGGCTGCTTGGGAGTGCCTGGCTTGCCTGGGGCAGCAGTCATCATCCTCCTCTCCCATCAGAGCAGGACTCTGCAGGCTCTTGGTAAGCCATTTCCCAGAACCCCATCTGTGATTCTTTGGGGCTCTGCCTCCAGGCAGGATGTGTGGATGGGCTCAGTCTAAGCCAGATAACACATTCCAGAGGCATGACAGCTGGTATTCATGTAATGAAGGAACCTGGCTGCTTTTCCCTACGTGCTGTAGGGCATGAGCCATGGAAAGGATCACGAGCCTGATTTGAAAGGAACGGAGAGGTTTCTCCCTTGAATTTGTTACCTGATCTCTGAAAAGGTACGGCACTGCAGCTGCCGACACAACAGGGGAGAAGCATGGGGCCTCCCTCCTCCAAACATGTCTGGTCTGGCCTCCTGCTTGTGCCCCGCTCTCCCACGAGCCTGACAGGCAATCAGCTGGTCCCTTACTGTGTACAGATACAGCCTCCTGGCCCCTGGTTTTACTGTCCCCTCCCTACACACATACAGAATGTGGTCTCCTGAGCTACTCAAGCCTCTTGAGAGATAAGGAACAGACCCCGCCCCCCCCCGGAGAAAGGGGCTTGTATAAACCAGAAGAGAGGCCTTCTGGAGTCCTGCTGTGGATTTGCAGCTCAGTGAGCCTGGAGCAGGGAGGACCCGGACTCCACCTCAGGGCTAGCTGGGCCCGTTCCCCTCTCACAGTGACTTGCTTTCTTCAGCCACCCTCACTCCATGATGGACCCCTTAGCCCAGCACACCCCTCCCTGCAGCACATTCTAGGCTGAAAGATCTTGTCCCATGTATCTCTGGGTCCCCAACACTTAGGGCACTGATGGGCTTGCTGCCAGCTCTGCAGACATTGGGCAGGGGCGTGAACAAATGAGATCATTGATTTATTCTCTCCTCTTCCTGATACGAGTGGGGTGGGGGTGGGCCTGGGCTTCTCTGAGCCTTACCTGGAACACAGTGGATTGGCATTTCTTCTGAAAGGGTAAAGTGAAGAATGGTGGGTGTGACTGTGTGTCTGATCAACAATGGCAGGCAAAAAATTGATGACCTGGCAATAGGCAGCTCAGACTTAGAGTTCTGTGAGATAAGGCTTACATCTTTGGGGAGGAAGCATTTTTGAATTTCCTTTGTTTTCCTTGTTTTTTCTTAGTAAATTTCCAGTGGGGCTTGGCTGAAGTAGAGCAGCAAGAGGCGGGCCTGGCAGAACTGGGCTCAGATGGCGCTGGTCCCCAGCATGCTCGGGGCTGCGTGGCTTAGTGTGAGGTGTCCAAAGTGTCCCTTGTGTACTTAGGTCTACTGCCAGTGGGGCTTGCCCCAGGCTGTGCCTGCTGCCTGCAGAGCAGGGTCTGGCTATTTCTAGGCTTCTGAGAAGATACATTGGCAGCAGCCCAGCCCATTCCGAGGTTTTGGCCCTATGTGGCTGATTCATTTTTGTATCCCGAGTGCCTAGCTCAGTGCCTGGCATATGTGGGTCTTTTGTAAATATTTGTGAATGGTGACTGGCCAGGGAGGACAGTGTCTCTTGAGGAGCCTCACTACAGGAAGAGCAGTGTCTGCCCAGAGCGCCTCCTGCCAGACTGCTCTCACTGTGGCCAGGCCCTCTTCTGGCGGACCATCTGCTGTACACCTCATTTCGGGTGTGGGTCCCCTGGATCATACTGTGTCAAGTTCTCTTTCTGTCGTCGTCTCTCCTGTGCTGTCAACATTCTGGTGGGAAGGGGCTGCGTGCTGCATCCCCAGCACCTGGCACTGTCCTGGCACATGTGTTGGAAGGAAAGACAGAAACAGACAAGCAGCCTGTGGAACAAGAACGGGTGGGCCAGAGTCCTGGACTTACAGACTGTTAGAACCAGAGGTGACCAACCCCCATGCGATTCAGCCTTCCCAGGTTGCCAGTGGTTACCAGGAGCCGAGAGGGCAGAGCCCCTCCTGAGGGCACGTGGCCTCCTAGAGCAGGGTCCAGAATTGAGCACACATCACTGGTTCCACACCCTGTGCTCTCGCCACTGGTGATCCTGAATATCCTTAGCTTCTGTGTGCCAGGTCAGGATTTTGGCATGTTTGAATGTGTGTATATGTATGTACATGTGTGTGTGTCTCCTCACCTAAGTTGCTTTTTTTTTTTTTAGTATTGGTCCAGTGACTGTCACTGAATACCTTGCAGACACTGCCCTCTGTGACCATGAAACGCCGTGTGTCCACATTGCTGGTGGCCTGGTTTAGTGTCCTGGGCTGCGTGCATGCCGAGTTCTTTACCTCTATCGGTATGTGCCAACCTGAGCAATCTTTGGCTCAAGCGCCAAGGGATGTCACTGCCTGAAGCCTGTTCTCATTCAGGGTGGCATGGCCTCACTCACTGGTTTTCACCAGTTTTACAGAGAGTGGGACTTGCAGAGTTGCTGCTTCCCTCTCTGAGGCCTGGATGGATGACCTGGATGTCCTGGGAGCCTGCTGTCTCAGCCACGTCCTCCTCTCTGGGACGTGTGGGCTGCTCCTGGACGGCCCTGGCCTTCCTGTCTGTCTTTCTCCCGGACCAGAGTGGTTGAGCACAGAACACACTGTGGCTGGTAGATCCAGCCACTCTTCTTCTAAAGTCTCAGAGCTTGTTTCCATGGGATGAAACCTCCAGGACATCCATGCCCCAGTGACATGACCCAGCTGGGTGGTGGTGGGAGAATGAGATTTGGGGCTTCTTCCTTAAGGTGCCCCCAGTGCACTAACCTCATTGTCCCCTTGGGGCCTCTGCCTCTCTCTTCCTGAAGCTGGGGGGTCAGGCTCATGTGAGCACGTAGGTCCCTTTTAACCCCGAGTCCTCATGATCCCAAGAGAGCTGAAATGCCTGTGGCCCAGAGGACTTGCCTCTATGCTGGGGTGTTCTGTGCCACAGGGAAGGGGGCTGGACATCTCCCTTCCATTTCTCGTTGTCCCTTTCTCCATGCAGGGCATATGACGGACCTGATTTATGCAGAGAAGGACCTGGTGCAGTCTCTGAAGGAGTACATTCTTGAGGAGGAAGCCAAGCTCTCCAAGATTAAGAGGTGTTCAATGTTCTAAATCCCCACCCCCACCCCACCCCCACTCTGGTGAGCCCTCCAGCCCCCAGGAACCCATCCAGGGTGCTCATAAGAGGAAGCCCTTGAGAGGGCACTGTGAGGCTGGCCTGGAGTTTACTCCCCCAGAGTGGCTCTCCATGGGCTGAGGACTCACTGCTTTTTCCTTTCTATTTAAGAGCCTCTTGGCATACATTGTGGTCCCCAGCTCCTGTGTAGCTTAAAATACTGAAAGGATCTGTGGGGAATTACTTGTATTCATATTAAATACCTCTTTATGAAAAGGGTCCTAAGTCTCACCAGGGAAATTAGCAGAAGTCAAGACCCGTGTGGGTTGGTGTGTTAGTTTTCCTTTTCCTCTGGTTCCACAGCTGGGCCAACAAAATGGAAGCCCTGACCAGCAAGTCGGCTGCTGACCCCGAGGGCTACCTGGCCCACCCTGTGAATGCCTACAAACTGGTGAAGCGGCTGAACACAGACTGGCCCGCACTGGAGGACCTGGTCCTGCAGGACTCGGCCGCAGGTGAGGGACGCTGAGCAGGTGCTTGGGTGAGCCAGTATGTTTGTGTGCTCGCTTCTGGGAGTGTGTGTTCAAGCCTTTCCTGGCTCTGGGTGGGCATGTGCAGTGTGTGAGCCTGAATCCTCACAGCTCACCGTTCTCTCCTTCCTTTCTCTGTGGGGACCTGGCAATTGGCTGTCCTTGTTTGTTTAATATGTAATAATAACCAGTTTTTGCCTTTTCCTAGTGTTTTCACTTCCTTTTTTTTTTCAGTAGTGACTTTTTTTCTAATTCTACTTAAGTAATACATTTTTTTTGGAAACTACAAAAACAATCACATGATAAAATTATAATTCTTAATCCAATTGCCTAGTGATAAGCACTATTAAAATTCCAGTCTTTCTACACATGCAAATATATTTTAAAAAATGGAACTATACATAGATACCAGGGATGCAAACTCACTTGCTTTGAGGGAACAAGTGAAATTAACAAAAGTGAGTTAAGTGGGTTGGGTGCCGGGGCCAGTGCAAGCTGGGAGCATGGGCCTCATCTAAATTCATTACCATTCATATCTGACAGAGATAAAACGTATCTGTTGGCAGATTTGTGATATAAGCATATACTGTTTTCCTGAATTTTGCAACTTCTCTGTGTCCATTAAATGTAACAAAATTTTAATGGCTGGACAGTAACATGTCATACTGATGTGTAAACTGGTCAAGTCAGTGGACGTGGCATTGTTTCCAAATTATCAGCAATCTTGCATACACATCTTTGGTTGTTTTCTTTGGATACATTCCTAGAAGTGGTATCTGCAGGCCAGATCATGTACTTTTTTAAAGCATGAACTGCTTGGTGCTTTCATTGTGGTAGTACTTTCTATGCGCTAACGTTTTCCTCTCAACAGGAGATGGTGGGATTGGCCCTCCTGCCTTGCAGGCCTGCACTCAGCCCCCTGGACTCTCCCTGAGTTGGGAGTGCTGATTAACTTCAGACTAGTTGTTTCTCTGGCTGAAACGTTTCAGCCCATGTGTCCAGACTGGGCTGGACTTGGCTGGGGACAGGCTGGCCTCTGGAGAGGGATTGGTGAGCTCATCCAGGCTGGAGCTCTGCCCAGTGAGCTCACTGCCTCCAGAAGCTGTGGCTGCCTTTCCCTGCCTCCCTGCTTGGGCCTGTAGCTCAGAACTGATTGTTCTGCCTGCACTGCGGGAGAACAAGGCTGCTCCGATGACTTCCCTGGATGACTTCCGGCTCTCCATTCTTCTCCAAGCCCCACCCCCACCATCTACAGCTGGTTTCTTTGGGAAACCTTATAATTAATTATCTGAAGGAGACAGGGTAGGCCCATAAAACATAGGTTGTTTTCACCGCTGACTTTCAGAGCTCTTGCCCTGACATGTGGCTTTTTCTGGGGGCCTGTTTTCTTTTTCCTGGATTATAAACACTCAGAGTTCCTGACCATGCAGTCATGAAGAAGGCAGCATTGCAGCTTCTTGGTTCCTGGGTCCCCAGACATGGCTAGAAGTAGGTGTTTGAGCCTGAGGTCGTGAGAGTAGGTGGCTGTGGGTGCTGCTGCTTAGGGGAAGAGGCTGGGAAGAAATGGCCTTGGAGTTCCCCTCCCAATTCTCAGCTCACAGACAGAATTGAAGCCCCTGGATTAGCATGGGAGGGCTTGGCCCCCACCTGGAGTTGAGATTAAAAGAGGCGCATGTCTTCCTTACAGCGAGGGCTTAGAGTCCCAGAACATCCTCCTTTGGCTACTTCTGTGGTCTGGGGCTCTCCCAGGCCCCAGGCTGTGGTCTTGAGCACCACAATTGGGGTGTACCTGCCCTGAGCTCACAACAGGTCTGAGTAGTCGGGGAATACCCTAGAGAGCAGAGCAAGGCCCAGTGTGGCCTCTCAGGGGACCATGCTGGGCTGGTGCAGCCCCACCTCAGAATTTGGCCTGGCCACATGGTCCCCTTGTCCCTAACCTAGGGGCGTGTGGGCAGTACCAGATGCCTTCAGGACTGTCATCACTTTTCTGGATGATAAGGGCCAGTGGTCAGCTGGGCTCCCTGGGTTGACCACCT